TCTGTCCATCTGTCCATCTGTCCATTTGTCCTCTGTCCATTTGTCCTCTGTCCTCTGTCCTCTGTCCATCTGTCCTCTGCCCTCTGTCCATCTGTCCTCTGTCCATCTGTCAACTGTCCTCTGTCCATCTGTCCATCTGTCCATCTGTCCATTTGTCCTCTGTCCTCTGTCCATCTGTCCTCTGTCCTCTGTCCATCTGTCCTCTGCCCTCTGTCCATCTGTCCTCTGTCCTCTGTCCATCTGTCCTCTGTCCATCTGTCAACTGTCCTCTGTCCATCTGTCCATCTGTCCTCTGTCCATCTGTCCTCTGTCCCTCTGTCCTCTGTCCATCTGTCCATCTGTCCATTTGTCCTCTGTTCTCTGTCCATCTGTCCTCTGTCCATCTATCCATCTGTCCATCTGTCCTCTGTCCATCTGTCCATCTGTCCTCTGTCCATCTGTCCTCTGTCCTCTGTCCATCTGTCCTCTGTCCTCTGTCCATCTGTCCTCTGTCCATCTGTCCTCTGTCCATCTGTCCTCTGTCCTCTGTCCATCTGTCCATCTGTCCTCTGTCCATCTGTCCTCTGTCCTCTGTCCATCTGTCCCTCTGTCCTCTGTCCATCTGTCCATCTATCCTCTGTCCATCTGTCCATCTGTCATCTGTCCTCTGTCCATCTGTCATCTGTCCTCTGTCCATCTGTCCTCTGTCCTCTGTCCATCTGTCCTCTGTCCATCTGTCCTCTGTCAATCTGTCCATTTGTCCTCTGTTCTCTGTCCATCTGTCCTCTGTCCATCTATCCATCTGTCCTCTGTCCATCTGTCCTCTGTCCATCTGTCCATCTGTCCTCTGTCCATCTGTCCATCTGTCTTCTGTCCATCTGTCCATCTGTCCCTCTGTCCTCTGTCCATCTGTCCATCTGTCCTCTCTCCATCTGTTCCTCTGTCCATCTGTCCCTCTGTCCATCTGTCCATCTGTCCTCTGTCCATCTGTCCTCTGTCCATCTGTCCATCTGTCCTCTGTCCATCTGTCCATCTGTCTTCTGTCCATCTGTCCATCTGTCCCTCTGTCCTCTGTCCATCTGTCCATCTGTCCTCTCTCCATCTGTTCCTCTGTCCATCTGTCCCTCTGTCCATCTGTCCATCTGTCCTCTGTCCATCTGTCCCTCTGTCCTCTGTCCATCTGTCCATCTGTCCTCTGTCCATCTGTCCAACTGTCCATCTGTCCTCTGCCCATCTGTCCATCTGTCCCTCTGTCCGTCTGTCCTCTGTCCATCTGTCCCTCTGTCCTCTGTCCATCTGTCCCTCTGTCCATCTGTCCCTCTGTCCATCTGTCCATCTGTCCCTCTGTCCCTCTGTCCTCTGTCCCTCTGTCCGTCTGTCCTCTGTCCATCTGTCCCTCTGTCCTCTGTCCATCTGTCCCTCTGTCCATCTGTCCATCTGTCCATCTGTCCTCTGTCCGTCTGTCCTCTGTCCATCTGTCCCTCTGTCCCCTCTGTCCCCTCTGTCCCTTTGTCCCCTCTTTCCCCTCTGTCCCCTCTGTCCCTTTGTCCCCTCTTTCCCCTCTGTCCCCTCTGTCCCTTTGTCCCCTCTGCCCCTCTGCCCCTCTGTCCATCTGTCCTCTGTCCCTCTGTCCTCTGTCCATCTGTCCATCTGTCCATCTGTCCTCTGTCCATCTGTCCCTCTGTCCATCTGTCCATCTGTCCTCTGTCCATCTGTCCCTCTGTCCATCTGTCCATTTGTCCTCTGTCCATCTGTCCATCTGTCCGTCTGTCCTCTGTCCATCTGTCCATCTATCCATCTGTCCTCTGTCCATCTGTCCATCTGTCCATCTGTCCTCTGTCCATCTGTCCATCTATCCATCTGTCCATCTGTCCCTCTGTCCCATCTGTCCATCTGTCCATCTGTCCATCTGTCCTCTGTCCGTCTGTCCATCTGTCCTCTGTCCGTCTGTCCTCTGTCCATCTGTCCTCTGTCCATCTATCCATCTGTCCATCTGTCCCTCTGTCCCTCTGTCCATCTGTCCCTCTGTCCATCTGTCCCTCTGTCCATCTATCCATCTGTCCATCTGTCCTCTGTCCTCTGTCCGTCTGTCCATCTATCCATCTGTCCTCTGTCCATCTGTCCTCTGTCCATCTGTCCCTCTGTCCCATCTGTCCATCTGTCCTCTGTCCATCTGTCCTCTGTCCATCTGTCCCTCAGTCCATCTGTCCGTCTGTCCATCTGTCCATCTGTCCTCTGTCCATCTGTCCCTCTATCCATCTGTCCCTCTGTCCCATCTGTCCATCTGTCCTCTGTCCATCTGTCCAACTGTCCATCTGTCCTCTGTCCGTCTGTCCATCTGTCCTCTGCCCATCTGTCCCTCTGTCCATCTGTCCATCTGTCCTCTGTCCATCTGTCCATCTGTCCTCTGTCCATCTGTCCTCTGTCCATCTGTCCATCTGTCCTCTGTCCATCTGTCCTCTGTCCATCTGTCCTCTGTCCATCTGTCCCATCTGTCCATCTGTCCTCTGTCCATCTGTCCATCTGTCCCTCTGTCCATCTGTCCATCTGTCCCTCTGTCCATCTGTCCCTCTGTCCCATCTGTCCATCTGTCCATCTGTCCTCTGTCCATCTGTCCATCTGTCCTCTGTCCGTCTGTCCATCTGTCCTCTGTCCATCTATCCATCTGTCCATCTGTCCCTCTGTCCATCTGTCCATCTGTCCATCTGTCCGTCTGTCCATCTGTCCTCTGTCCATCTATCCATCTGTCCATCTGTCCCTCTGTCCC